CTAGTAGTAACAAGTGCCTTACTAGTAGTAACAAGTGCCACGCTAGTAGTAACAAGTGCCTTACTAGTAGTAACAAGTGCCTTACTAGTAGTAACAAGTGCCACGCTAGTAGTAACAAGTGCCTTACTAGTAGTAACAAGAAGCCATTAGAAACAAGTGCCTTACTATAGTTACTACTAGTAAGGCACTTGTTACTAGAAGCGATGCACTTGTTACTAGTAGCGGTCAAAGCGTGCCAGGGCCCAGCAACCAGCCTGGCCTCTTGTTCTGCTGTTCGATCAGGTTGTTCCATGAGGTATTTCCGCACCTTCTCCTCAAGACGGACTGCTATGCTCCTTGTAGCGATTTCATTTTTTCACATGTCACATATATCACATCGTATCACAATTTCTTTCACTTTCAGAGTTCCTTTTAGGTTTTATCTTTCCCACCAAAAAAAAACCTCTCGCTCGAAGGTGTTTGGATGTTCGGCAGTTTTTGGCCTGGTCGGCATCCAGCTCTTGCTGAACCTTCGGTGCAAGCTTGGCCAACAGCGGCACGTTGGCATCACCTTCGGTCAAACGTTTCATGTATAAACAGTTCCTCGTTCTGTCCTTTTTCTGTGTCCTTCTTGTTGACAAGAACTCTTCTTTGCAGTTCTCTCAGCAAAAAGCCGTGCTCGGCTAGAGCCCTACTTCCTTCTGAAGTTCTTGCTGTCATGTTTCTCAAGAGAATGTCGTTCAACTTTTTACGATTGTGATTCTGAGGCTGCTTCCAGTTCTTCCATCACGGCCGTCACCTGCCAACAACACAGCTTGTTGCAATGCTTTACAAAAAGAAAGGAATGGCCCTGGCCTCCGACCTAATAGCAATGACCTCCAACCTAATAGCGCTAATAGCAATGGCCTCCGACCTAATAGCCATGGTCTCCACCCTAGTAGCGATAGTTCCACTTCCACATTGGTGTCATTGTCATTGCCTAGCCAGGAAGTTGTGATGTCTTCTTCGTCGGCTTGCCACGCACGAGGTAAGCAGTTCCCTGAGCAAAGAACTCAAAAACAAACACAAAGAACAACAGGATCCTGCAGGGCATCGAGATGCGCAAAGGAGCGCCTGCGCAGCCGTCTGGAACCAAAGCTTCGACCTCGCGGCAGCGGTGAACGACGAGACGAAAACGAGCATTCGTCTCAGTCGACCTCTTGGATTTTGGACGCGTTACAAGTCTCTGACCTTGCTTCATCTCTGATTCCTTTCCATTTTCATTTGTTTTTTCCATTCGGTTTTTTGGACGAACTTGTCGTCTTTCCGAGGCGAAGACCTGCCCTCGGAGGATCAAAATGGCACAGTCGCCGGGAACGCCAGGCCTGGGGAGTTGTGGGCCAAATCAAAACACAAGCAGAACAGTACATGTTGTTTCATTGCGCATGTGTGTAATTGTTCTACTAAACAATTTGTAAAAAACAGCTGAGAAACAAACTCGTGCATCGCTACCAGTAACAAGTGCATTGCTAGACTTACTACTAGGAGCAAGGACGCTACTAGGGGCTCCTGGCATCGCTACTAGGAGCATTCTTACTACGAGTAACAAGAAGCTTCTAGTAGCGATGCCCTTGTTACCAGTAGCTTGTTTTCTTGGTAAACTCTGGGGACAGAAACGATCGAAACCGACCCCCCACCAACCCCCACACTGGTGTGATGCAAGAACGCGCCTTAAAATGGTTTGTTTGTCAAAGTAGTATCTGGGCGCAGAGTGAAGCATAGTGAAGTCCACACAAGACAAACTCTGTTCTGACTGACTTTGACCTATTTACTTACTTCACATTGGTTCACATTGTTTCACTGATACTGTTGTCCCGCCTTTCTTCGATACCTTCTGGAAGAGGACCAGAGACAGAAGTTCCCAGGGCATTGTCCACCATGAAAATCGACTGCGAGCGTCGAGAGCGTCGACACGCAACGGAGCCGATGAAGGTAGTAGTGTCCGATCGCTCCTAGTCGCATGGCCAGGAGCCCCTAGTAGCTTCTTGTTACTACTAGTAAGGCACTTGTTACTAGAAGCGATGCACTTGTTCCTAGTAGCGATGCCCTTCGAAAACAAAAGGACAATTCGAATTGGCGTCTTCTGCTTCAGCCTGGCGTTGAGGTAAGTTTTCTTGATTTGGCTCAGCTCGTGTGAGGTAGCCGTTGAGTGTCCCAAATTCTCGAGCCCTTGTCAGATGGATCCAGCTTCGACGGACCTGTGCACCTTCATGGATTTGTGGTCTTTTGTGGCATATGCAGCCCTTTTTGTATTCCAACAACCCGCTTTGCTTCCAAGCACTTCTGGCTGTCCTCAGCCTGAAATACCTTGCATGAAGTATGTGTGTTTTGCTTGCGGTTCCGGCAGCCATTCGTCAACGGGAGCTGCGCAGAAGCCGTTGTTTACACATAGCAGTGCCAAACAAAAGGCCTGTTTAGAACAGAAGAAACAGCCTAATAGCAACAAGAAAGCTTTCTAGTAACTAGAAGCTACTAGGTGGAGGCCATCGCTACTGGTAACAAGAGCTTTTTAGTATGTCTTTGAAGCTTTCTAGTAACATGAAGAGAACAGCCTACTCATGTTCAAAGCCGCCAAGCCGTGTTCATAGCAGGGGAAAATTGCGAGAAGGCTTCCTCTGGAATGTCCAGCATGCTACCCGGTTACCCGCCATGAACTGTCGAAACCAGTCAACACAGGGTGTAAACCAGGCTTCGAGAAATGCTAAGATCTTTTCGATTCGATATTTCCTTGTTCCGTTCGTAGCGTCCTTGTTACTACTAGTAAGGCACCTGTTACTAGTAGCGTGGCACTTGTTACTAGAAGCATCTTGCTTGCGCCTGGCCCGAGAGCTGCAAAAAGTCCAAGGGTTCCTCTAGGCTGTCGACAGGTCCAGGATTCCAGAGCAGCAACGTCCGAGCTTCCTGGAGAGCGGAAACCGAAGAACGCGGCGTTGAAGCGACCCGGTCGGCTTCGCAACATGCATCCGGTCTACGGTCCTAGTAGCGATGCCCTTGTTTCTAATAGCTTCTTGTTGCTAGAAGCGATGCACTTGTTCCTAGTAGCTTCTTGTTCGTGCTCGTGCCTTATGATTCAAGGAGTCGATCCGATCTAAGGAGAGTTCATTGAAATAGCCCACCTGAGGTGCGGCCGAACGTCGACACTTCCCCTCACGTGCGGCGTGTCCGTGTTCTGACATGGCAAAGGACTTGGAGGATGAGAAGGAGGACTTGGTGACATAGAAAAAATAGAATCTAGATATCTACAAGAACCTGTAGAGCTGACCTGGGTGGAGAACGTGACTCTCCGAGGCTCTGAGCAATTCTCGTTGCGAAAGGAACGGTTCTGTTGGTGTCTTTTTTTGTCGAACGGAACTGCATCTGAGGGCAGTTTTCAAAATCTGTTTGAGTTTCTTGTGGGAAAGAAAACTGTGGCATACGATTGCAAACGCCAATGTTGTGCTTGGGGTTCCATATTCCGGCTGCATCGCAATCGCATGGTGACCACACATGGCAACGCCATTCACAAACCGACCGGACCGGACGACTGGCCGCCCGCCGCAGCTGTGTGATTCGGGGTCGCAAGGATGACTAAAGAAAAAAAGTGCGGACCCTCAAAAGGTGCCTCCTTGCTCCTAGTAGCTTCTTGCTCCTACTAGCTTCTAGGAGCTACTAGTAGCGTCCTTGCTCCTAGTAGCGATGCCCTTTGCTCCTAGTAGCGTCCAAAAACTGCTTCTCTCTTCGGGTCCCGGTCTTCGTCTCGTTCACCAAAACTGCCTCGTAGGTCCACTTCAATCGCATCACACGCGGTTCATCTGGATCCTCGCGACGATCGCGAATCTTCGTTTCTCGGCCTCACGTGGATTATTTGCTCCTAGTAGCCATGCCAGAAGCCCGTAGTAGCGTCCTTGTTTCTAGTAGCGATGCCCTTTGCTCCTAGTAGCTTTTTTGCTCCTAGTAGCGATGCCAACATGTATCCCGTTGCCCCACTCCTCTGGTTGCTCAGCATTTTCGTCAACAACTTTTTCCTGCAACCTTGGCCACATGGAAGGAGGATGCAACAAAGGCACGTAGAAAGTCAACACTACCAGCACTTTGTTCTTTTCCTTTCTTTTCTTCTGGGTTTCTTTTTATGGTAAACTCTGGCCGCTAGCCGCTCTCTGCTCGTTGATCATGCTCCAGTCCGACGTGGACGCAGTGTTGCCGAACCAAAACAGGGTTTGGTCTTGGATGTTTGGATCAATCATCATCATCATCATCATCATCATCATCATCATCATCATCATCATCATACAACAAGTTCAAGTCAACATCAACTCGAAATCGAAAATAAAAGTTCTAACACCCTCTCCTTCTACAGAAAAACACCCCACGCATGCACCATGAACCTTCGCGAAGCTAACCTAACCATACCTAACCTTCCCTTCTTCTTGCTCCTACCGTAGTAGCGTCCGATCGCTCCTAGTAGTAAGGCCAGGAGCCCCGAACGTAGCGTCCACCTTGCTCCTAGTAGCGAGGCACTTGTTTCTAATAGCGAACATTGCTACTAGTAAGGCACTTGTTACTACTAGCGATGCACTTGGTTCCTAGTAGCTTCTTGCTACTACTAGTAAGGCACTTGTTACTACTAGCGTGGCACTTAGTTCCTAGTAGCTTCCTCTTCTTCCGATCCATCCCGGCTGGGCGTCCCACAGCTCCGTCAAGGCTTGCCGTTGGACGAAGCGCACGCGGGCGCCGTCGGGCCCGGCGCGCAGCGCACAGGTGCGCTGCTCGGAGCCGACGCCCAGGAACTCGGTGATGCCCTGGAAAAAGAAACGAAAGGGAACGAAAAGAACAAATAAGGGAATCAGAAAGAAAATAATAAAGGGAACCAATTTGTGAATTTCTGTCTTTCTATGTGTTTTAAAGGAACTCTCAGGAGACACCGTAAGTAGGCCTACTTAGCAGGCTCCTAGGGCTCAGAAACAGTCGCAAGATGAGGTCACCAGCGAGCAAACTTGCTAGAGTGCACGTAGGGGATGGTTCAGTGTTGGTCACCATCTGCCTTTGAAGAAAGGGAATCAGGAAGAAACATGAATAAAAATTAAGAAAGTAAAGGACAAGTAAAGGATGAAGAAAGAAACGAATGCAAGCAACTCCAAACAAAGGAAGAAAGATGAAGAAAGGACAGTTGTCTTAAGAACATTAAAAAATAAATGAAAAGCTTCGAGGGTTGTGCGCTCGTGGCGGTCCCCAGTTACCGCGTTGCAGGGCGAAAAGGATCGCTTCGACGGCTTTCGCTACCGCGAGCGGCGAATCTGGGCGAATCCCGGCTCTGCCGACATAATCCGGAGAGCGATTGCACCACTGCGGACTCTATAGAAACAAGTGCCACGCTAGTAGTAACAAGTGCCTGACTAGTAGTAACAAGAAGCTATTAGAAACAAGTTTACTGAAATGAACCAGCATAAACCCATGTACATGACATTGGAGCTTTGATTGCGCGCACTCACAGACAGGAAAACTCCTTATGATCCTTATGTTTTAAGACGCCACTAGGAGCATCTAGGAGCAAAAGGGCATCGCTACTAGGAGCAAGGACGCTACTAGTAGCTCCAATGTCAAGGACGCTTATTGCCACAATTTGCAACATCACCCAGCCACTTGGGTATTAGATCAGGTCATTGTGTGGGCGAAATATACGATGCCTGAGTCTGCCTGAGTGTTGGTCTATCACTGTTGTTTCCTTCTCTCACTTTTGGAGGCCATCGCTACTAGGTTGGAGGCCATGAGAACCGATCAAACACAAAACCGCTTGTTTAACTAGTAGCGATGCCAGGAGCGCCTAGTAGCTTCTTGTTCCTAATAGTAAGGCCAAAAGCCCCAGGTAGACCCTTCTTCCCTTTCCTTCTTTTCGGAAAACCTTTCTCTTCCTTGTAAGTCACACTTCAGATCTTGCATCTCATAGACCTTTCGATCTTCCGTTCCTCTTCTTTCCGACACTTAGATCTGTCTTTCTTTTCCTTTCTTAGACCTTCGGACCTTTTGTCAAGAAAGGACTGATGAGTTGCGCTTCCTGCGCCAGTCGTCCTAAACTCCAACGACTGTTCGACAAGTGATGCAAGTGGTGCAATAAGAAAGGGAACAAGAAACAGTGGCAATATGCAAACGATGAAAGGCCACTTGACAAGAGAAAGAAGGAAGATATAGTCTTTACTAGGAACAAGAACGCTACTAGGGGCTCCTGGCCGTACTATTAGGAGCAAGGACGCTACGAACGGGGCTCCTGGCATCGCTAGAACGACAAAACAGGACATCCAGAGAGTGACCAAGAACTCCTCGGGCGGGTTCGGGAACTCGGCTAAGCTTAGGCTACGCGAATGGCGGTCATGTGAATCATTGCCACCTCTTATAGTGACCTCAGAGAGTGAATTTAATGCAGCGTCTCTTCCCAACTTAGTCAAATGCAGCTGTTGGAGAGATGTGGGAGAGATTTGTTCTCGCAAGACTGAAGACGCAATGATGGGCTGCGGATTCAGACATCTAGCGAAAGAGCGATATCGCTTGAAAACCCGACCTGCACTTTTGGAAAACAACACCAACTCACGAACGTTCCCGTCGTGTGATGGGTCATTCTACGATGTGCTTCCCCTGCAGAAGATCGAAACCGGACCAAAACTGCAACACCACCAAAGCAATGAGCTTTCCGTTTACCTTAAGAGACATGAATTTGTTTAACAACTACTCTGAGCAAACATGCAAAGCAAAGATGTGCAAAATGTAAAGCATGGACTCAAGAACAAATGTTTTAAATTTCGTTCCATTTGAAAGGACATCTGTTGGACAATACATTGTTCCGCCATGCGCAACTGCAGCACAACACTGCATTCTACGTTGAAACATCTTAAAACGCCATGCTTCTTGTTCCTAGTAGCGATGCCAGGAGCCCTGTTCGTAGCGTCCTTGTTACACCATGCTTCGGCGCAATACAACGCTTCAATCCCTGTGCCTCACAGTCCCCGCGCTTCAACGTCCGCACGATGCAAAGCCCACCCTGCGCAGGCTGAAGAGGTCGAAGAAGTTTTGATGTTTTGAATGAAGATTAACTGATTATTCTTGTTTCTACTAGCTTCTTGTTACTACTAGTAAGGCACTTGTTACTAGTAGCGATGCACTTGTTACTACGAGCGAGGCACTTCTGCAACTGATTAACTTCTTCCATTTAATGAGAAGTTATGAAGATCAAGATATGTTATCTTTTCCAGCTATGATTTGCAGGACACAGGGAAGGAATAGGACACCTTCCTGACAACATCTTCAAAAAGACAATATGCAAGTTGGTGTTTTGTGCTGCCGTTTGAGAGAGCATCCTTTTCGTAGCTGCGTTTCCAATGGGCGCCGCCCCAAAGTGCTGTCCATACAAGCATGCAAAAGCCGTTTGTAGTGACGTGATGAATCGTGGTGTGGCAAAGGTTGGAATTGCGAGTTTTGCAAGTTTGGTCGAATAAAGTGAGAGGAGAAACCGGGATACAAACAGTGAAAGCAAGAATACACAACGATGTGGAACATCGGGTCCGTCCTAGGACAATGAGTCATTTATTTTTTCTAGAATGCATCTGGCTGTCTAGGTTCTTGTGCAACTCTGGTGGTCTGGGAATAAGGTGAAGACCAGCTTGACGCTGTGCCGTCCGCAGCCGTGCGTCAGCATTCGCAATTCGCAGTGAGGTCCCTATGGAGTATCTTGGGGAACTAGACGAGTGACCACCCTCATCCCCTTGTTACTAGTAGCGATGCCCTTGTTACTAGTAGCTTCTTGTTCCTAGTAGTAAGGCCAGGAGCTACTAGTAGCGTCCTTGCTCCTAGCGATGTTCGTTGCTACTAGTTGGCGTCCTTGGAGTCTAAGTGCGTGTCATAGTGCTGCGCTGGTGTAGCGTTTTGCGGCAGGTTGACTGATCTCAATTACTATTTTTGCTGATCACCTCGCGTGGTGCAAATCTGCTATTGGCAAAGAGGTGTCTAGCAGCAAGAAAACTGTTCAAGGCTGGTTCACCGAACACATTGTCAGGGCTGCAAAAGCATGCAAAAGTAGAGCTTCCTACTGAAGACTATCCATGACCACATATGATCAAGACTGACTAGCAGTTTCTAACCGTGGGATTTCAAGAAGGACGTCTCTTACTTTTGCATCATCGGAAACGCCCCACAGCAGTGAAGTGGTGCGATACGGCAAGCAGTGCCTTGTTACTAGGAATAAGGCAGGACGCCCCTAGTAGCGTCCTTGTTCCGTTCGTAGTAGCGAACGATATACAGTATCTGTTCTCAAACTTGGCAAAACCTGTTGGGCCACCTGTCGTCTCGTCTGTCTGATCGTCTCGTCTGTTGGGCCACCTGTGGTGCATCGCCCACGAGTTTCTCCACGGTGCCGCGGATGATCACTACCTCACATGTGTCTTGCATAACACATTACAGGCCTGAAGAACGCTGTTTTGATCGTTAAGGGGCAGTTAGAAGAACCTATTGGCAACAACATGCGCAGAACGCAAAAGGGTCACACTATTGGCAGCTAGAGGATGTTTGGGTTTTTGACTCCTCATCATTGAAAAAAGGCAAGGAATGTCATGCTGAGTGACAGTTGTTGCGCCCCTCTCAGCTGAGTTCGGTACTAACTTGTCATCATAGTCCCCCCCACGGCAAATGTACCTGTTTACACGCACGTACATGTACCACTTCGAGTGTGAACTGTTTTCTTTGGGTTGGGGCCTCCATCGCTAACTCAAAAGAAGCTAGTAGTAACAAGTGCCTTACTAGTAGTAACTAGTGCATCGCTACTAGTAACAAGAAGCTAGTAGAAACAAGAATTAGTTTTGAGTTACTAATAGCCATGGAGGCCCCAACCTGCTAATTTTACTAATTATTGTTTCTACTAGCTTCTTGTTACTAGTAGCGATGCACTAGTTTTTTTGGAAATGTCATCCCTTTGTCAACTTCCTCGTCAGTCTTTTCCGGCACTCTCCAGGCTCCAGCTTCATTCCGATGAACGGTTTGTGCAATGGAGGCCTTGAACAGTTTGGAGTCAAAACGCTCTGTCGGGTCTACTGGGTCATATAGAGTCATACTGCCTCATACAGTGTTTATTGGTCTTTCTTTTCTGAATCGACCATCCTTCCGACCTTTTACATGTCTTTTCTTTCGCTGAGAGACCGTTCCTTTCGTTCTATGTCATGTTCACAAAAAAAAAGACACGGTTGTGCATGCTGTGCGATAACAAGCGGAGCGGATGTGAATGGACGGGAATGGATTCCAACAAAAGCGAAGTGAAGAAGTTTGAGGAACCATTTTGCTGTTTCAGCTATAGCTGAAAGGCTTGTTCTCTCATTCCTTTTCTTTCCAACAGCTAACTAGCCATACTAGTAGCGATGGCCTCCCACCTATTGGAGATGAAAAGAACACGTTTCCTAACACTTTCCCTTTTCCTTTTTCCCACCTTTTCCTAATTCGCAGCTTGTTCTCAGTGTGAGGCAGCCGATCTTTGGGCAACTTCTCCAATGTGCAAATCTCGTCGTAGTCGGGGTCGTACCACGTCTCCTTCACGTAAGTTGGTGCTCATTGAGAGAGCTTTCTTCACTTCAAACCTTGGGACCTTCCAGCTTGTCCAGCTTGCTGTCATGCTGCGCCGTTCGAAACCCCAAACAACAAGCGCATCGCTCTGCGCAAACATCCACCCCTCTTCCCTTCTTCTCCTTTCCAGCATCGTGATATTCCCACTCACGAATCGCTCTCAACCTCGGAAGAGTGTCGGGGCAGCCGGCGGCTAGCTGTGCAGCCGTCCGGCTCGTCTGCCGAGTGGCAAAAGGCGCTTAAATTCAATGCTGCATCCCTGAGAAGAGCATCTGAAAGGGAAAGCCACTGCTGAGACTACTATTCGGGTAGCTTTCACATACGGCTGAACAATACTACTGCCAGTATTGCTTGGAGATCTGCCACAAACTGAAGAATCCACATTTCCCGAACGTGTCGAGCCTTGAACAGGGGCATATTGAGAACGAGGCCGTCATCAATTGACCAGGCCTGATCGTGCGCATTGGTGAAGGGCATCGCTACTAGAAGCAAACATGCTACTAGGGGCTCCTGGCATCGCTACTAGGAACAAAGGGCATCGCTACTAGTAACCTGGCTTCGTTTCGACATCCCGTTCGCTTCACCTCCCCAGTCCATGCTTCTCTTCTCTTCGGTTTGTGCACCTGAAAGGGCGACAAACAGTTCTTAGTCAAAAACACGGCATAGGAATCTTCAAAGGAATGGCCTCCAACCTACTAAAAGACACGGTGACATGTTATTCCTTCTGTTTCCCTCGTCGTTAAGGAGACGGCCACGCTGCCCGTGGCGCTTGAACCACCATCCTTCGATTTGACTGGATAGCAGATAAATCAATTTAGTAACAAGTGCATCGCTTCTAGTAACAAGTGCCTTACTAGTAGTAACAAAAAGCTATTGGAAATAGCGTCCTCTTGCTCCTAGTAGCGATGCCCTTTGCTACTAGTAGCTTCTTGTGACTTCCTTGTTTTTAATTTTTGCATCTGTTTCTTTCAGCCTTTACATTTCTCCTTTCTTTGTTTGCGATTGTCATCTCCCAATTCCCCGCTCCTCGTTCTTTTCATTGTCCTTTTGTTCTTGCCTCTCTTCACCTTTCTCATCCTCACAAAATCGCCCGGTGGATTTCGGAACGACCGGACTGACAGTTGACACGGCTTGGTCTTCCGACCGTGTCTCCAGTGGCCGATGCAGAGTCACCAGGTTTGATGTCCTCCTCCACCTGGCATCGCTAGTAGTAGCAATGTTCGCTACTAGGAACAAGTGCCACGCTAGTAGTAACAGGTGCCTTACTAGTAGTAACAAGAACGCTACTAGGAACAAAGGGCATCGCTACGAACGGAGCGAAAAGGCCATTTAGTTACTAGTAGAAATGCCCGGCGATAGTAGTAGCGTCCTGGCTCCTCGTAGCGATGCCCTTGCTCCTTATAGCTTCTTGGTACTCAACATCAATTTAGTTACTACTAGCGTGGCACTTGTTTCTACTAGTTACCTTTGGGTAAGGCCAGGAGTGCCCCTTCTTGTCAAATCTTCCGCATTTCTTTCTCAAATTCTTGGACTCTTTCCTGCACGTCTCAGTGTCTTGAAAGGCCTCTGGGCTCATGGCATCCTGACCTCTGAGGTGTTGTTTATTTCACATAAGTGAAATGCCTTGACCTTTTTCAATTTCATGCGGTGTTTTCAATTGATTTACTTGTTTTTCCCTCTCAACAAGTACCAAAACATTGCAAACACTTAACTAAAAGTGGGTTCTGAGCCGTGTGAATTCTGAGCCGAAGTGGCGCCGAAATCGGGCAGCACGTGGTTCATTCTGACGTCTTGTGCCGGTTACACGAATGTCACGAAGCAAAAACGGCCTGTTTCAAGGAAACCCATATCCGTCCCCCATCGCAACCAAAGCACCTGCAGATGTTGGCGTTGTTTTGCTGATGTGAAAGGCTGGTGGTGCTGGGTCAAGCTGTGAAAAGAATCCCATGGCCTGACGACAAGCACAATAAGAGAAATGTCAAGAAACACGACTCTTTCACTTTGCGAACGCCGCAACGGTAACAAGAAGCTACTAGTAACAAGTGCCACGCTAGTAGTAACAGGTGCCTTACTAGTAGTAACAAAGAAGCTACTAGTAACAGGTGCCCAGTCGGCCGCCCTTTTCGCCGCTTTCGGATCCTTTGGATCGAACGCGCGCGCCAAGTCGCAAAGCTCCGCCGCGTCCGTGTGAAGCGAATGGCGGATAAAAAGGATAAAAGAAGGATAAAAGGAGCTCCTTCATCATTTCCGCGCTAAGTTTGGATCGAAGAGAACAAGCATTTTGCTTCAGTTCGCTCGAAGTTTTCCCAGCTTGGAGTGGGTCTGCACAGTCGAGAACCTTCCATTCACGTGCTCTTGTCCTTGCTTGGCGGAAGACCTGAAGTCGAATGAAGCGAAGCTTGTGCACAGCTCTGGACACAGCGGAAAACAAAGAGAAAATGCCTCCAACCTAGAAGCGATGGCCTCGACCCTACTAGCGATTTAGAGAACATGTCACTTCAGGACAAGTGTGGCAGTTGCTGATTCTGATCATGGTATGCCCAGAAGATCCCAGATCAAACGATGCATGCCGAATGACGACAGCGCAGAAAGAGCGCTCACAGAGTGCTCAGTATGGCGAACCCGTAAGGCTTGAGAAAAGGCAAGAAGAAACGTGAACGCAGAAGAAGGCTACAAACGGACCAAAGAAAGCTACAGTGTTTGCAAGACTTCCATTATATCTAATTACAATTAATAAACCTTACTTAAATTCTTTTGTTTTGTCTGTTTCAGCTATATAGCTACTCTTCTTTTTCTTTCCTCTCTCTTTCTTCCTAATAGCGACTCTTTTGCATCTGTCCATCTTAGTAATGCTCACATCTTCGTCTGACTCGCTAAGTTTCCCAAACAATCTCTACGGGCTAGAAGCTACTAGGGGCTCCTGGCATCGCTACTAGGAGCAAAGACGCTACTAGGGGCTCCTACTAGGAGCAAGGGCATCGCTACGAACCAAATCATTCGGGCTCAGGCTTCAAGGAAGCTCGCCCCTGCCCGCCCCACGTCGCGCGATACTTTCCCCAAAGGGGAGACGTGACGACTGGTGTACACAGGCCTTAAGCGGCCGAAGTACATCACCTGAACTGACTCCATCTTACTTCCCGACCAGCCTAACTCCCCCAGGCGAAAACAGATCGCTAGAGTAGGTTGGAGGCCAGCGCTGTTAGGAAGAAAGAGAGAGGAACAAAATGAAAAGACAGAACAAGCGCTCTTAGTACAGAACGGTAGCTATAAGCATCTCGCCTTGTCTCCTGTTGTCTCGTCTTCTTCCGCTTCACGCACGTCCGTACGAAGCTCTCCAAGGTGTAGCCACCACCACCTATTTGGCTTTTGGTAGAAGCCAAAGAGTACAAGGAGCTTGGCAGCTTGTCAGAAGTTGGAAAGAAAGACGTTAACAAAAGCTACTAGTAACAAGTGCATCGCTACTAGTAACAGGTGCCTTACTAGTAGTAACAAAGAAGCTACTAGGAACAAGTGCCTTACTAGTTGGAAAGAAAGACGTTAACAAGTCGGGTCAAATTTTGGTCTGCCTCTCTCTTCGTCTCAACCGTCCATCCCGCCACTTGCAACACATGTGCTTAGTGGTCTTGGACCGTGCTTAGTTGCACTATGCGCCTTCAAACCGAAGGATTCGCCTTAAATCCCTTTCTTGGCTATGGCCCTCATGTGTTGATGAATTGGTCCAAGTGAATGATTAGGCGCAAACCCAATGTGTCCTTTGGTACATGTTTTCACTTAACTCGAGTTGAATCTATTGCCCACTCAAAAACGCTTGAAGGACCATCAAAACCTGAAGTCATGAGAAAACACCACCAGACCTTGACGAAACGCCGAAAGCAGGCCCAACTCAAAGCTGCTCGAAGCACCTTGAAACGAAGCAAATTGCAGCAAACTGCAAAACGTTGCATTCGTGGATTTGGAGTGGAGGGTAGTGATATCAATGCCTGCCTCGTAGAAACGAGGGGTTGCTGCCATTCGAACATGCATCTACAGATTCTGTACACATTAAGCAACTCAGAATTGTCAAAATGGGTCAGCCTGTTGCTGCGAGCACATCCAATGTATCACGGTTTTCAGGGCCGCACCTTTGCTCTCAAGTTGCAACTCACTGAAGAGCTGCATAGCCTGGCCAAACTTCGAGACAGCCATGTCATTTTGGAACTCAAGTCGAGACAGCCGGATCAGGTGGTGTTTTCCAGGGTCGAGGCCGCCAGAATTTGTTGAATGCAAAACACTCTTTGTTGTGAGCAAGCTTCCTGGTGGAGTTTACTTAGCCGGCACCGTTAAGCATTGACAACCTGGACCAACTCACCCAATGCTTGGACAAAGGTGTAAAAATTGGTGGAAAAACACGCTATGAAAAGAGTGGAAAGAGAACAAGAACGACCTGGTTACATTCCCTGGAAATTGAAACCTTGGGCGCCCAACATGGGCCAAAATTATTCTTCACTCAAACCCGGAAGCACAACCCAGCATCTGAACGAAACCAAACATGGTATTGGCTAGCAGATCAGTCTATAATGAGCTGTATAGTCTTTCTGTCCGTGTGGCTACGAACAAGATCCAAATCTTGTACAAGTTTCCCAATGCAATTTAACTGATTAATTACGAAAAGTGCATCACTGCTAGTAACAAGAAGCTACTAGGTTGCGGGCCATCGCTAGTAGGTTGGAGGCCATTACTATTAGGAACAAGAAGCTATTAGTAACAAGGAAAGTGTCACCGGCCTGGCCTCCTGATTGCTGATCTCTCCGTTTGAGCCACCGTTGTTGGAGATCCATGCCTCACGAAATCTCTTCAATGAATCCTGCACACAATCCAAACTCCAATTGAACTGCAATTGAACTGCCTTGAACTCCAATTGACACTGTTTGAAAGCTGATCGCTGCTTCCGTTTTTTCTCCTCATTCTCCATCCTCAAGACCTTCTTCATGTCTGACAGGCTCAAATGACCTTTGGCGAAATCCGATAGATAGAGAAGGAAATCCTATGTAGAGGTACAATTCACACGTTGGACATGCACATTTCGGTCGCCGCGCCGGAATTGTCCACATCCACCTTCGCAGCAAGTCTTTCGACCTCCTGACGAAGCCGACCACTTATCCAAAAGTCACTCAACAAATCCTATATATTCTAATTTCTGTAGACATTGAAATACATAAAACATTAATTTACTTACAAGTTCAAGTAAATTCAATACCGATTAAATTCAATATGAATGTAATTCTTATTCTGAGTTTCTGTTTTTAAACTGACATCACTCCTCTGGTTCCAGCTCGCAGCCAAATATATTTAGCACCTGGGACCAGTGCGGTTTCCTCTCGGCTTTGCAGGTTGTTGGACTCTCTTAGGTTGGAAGCTTTGCAGGTATCACGACATTGGACTGCATGGCTATTCTCGTATTCGTAGTGCCTCGGTCCAGAAAAGAGATACTAGAAGTAAGAGCCCCTAGTAGCTTCTTGCTCGTAGGGCCAGGAGCCCCTAGTAGCGTCCTTGCTCCTAGTAGTAAGGCTAGGAACCTCTAGTAGCGTCTTGTTCCTAGTAGCTAAGAACAAAGGATTGGCCAAGCTATTTCTTGAAATTGGTTGAGCGCTTGAGATTGTGTGTCATGGACATCAAAGAAGCCTGTGCCCCAACAAATGATGGGATGGCAACAGACCATTTTGCTTGAGACACTTTTTTCTTATGGTTTTCTTCTAGGAACAAGAAAGCTACTAGGGCCTAGGGGCTCCTGGCATCGCTACTAGGAGCGATCGGACGCTACGAACGGGGCTCCTGGCCATACTACGAGGAACCAAGGGCATCGCTACTAGGAACAAGTGCATCGCTTCTAGTAACAAGTGCCTTACTAGTAGTAACAAGGACGCTACGAGGAACAAAGGGCATCGCTACTAGGAACAAGTGCATCGCTTCTAGTAACAAGTGCATTACTAGTAGTAACAAGGACGCTACGAGGAACAAAGGGCATCGCTACTATTCTTTCTTTCTTTCGACCTTTTCTCTTTCAAATGCGTAGCGAAGGGTTCTGAAAAACTCCGGGGGTCTGGGTGAGCAGTCCAGGCCGGGTGCCACCGGCCATTGCTTGCACGGACGCAAACAATTGGGGTACCGTAAGATGAACAGCCTGTGATTCTGGTGATCTGTGTTGTGGTGAGGCATCAAAGTGCAAGCTGCAAGTACTAGCAAATACCATTGAAATCAGTTGGAACATAAATTCCGTTAAAATGAACAAGAAGCTACTAGTAGCAAGGTGCCTTACTACCAGGAACAAAAACAATTCAAGTTAGATTAAAGCAACATAAAACTAAAAATTAAATACTAATTAAACTAACATGAATTAGACATCGATTCGATTAAATGGTTTCGTCAAATCCGTAAGCTACGCTTTACGCACCGACGCATCTCTGCGACTTGGCATCGAGGCCGGAAGGCGGCGGCCAAATCCTCAAGTTCCTTGAGAGAAAGACCTTCACGATTTCGATACCTCACAGATCTCCGTCGAAATCGTTTGTGGAAATCTGAAGAGCATGTTGATTTTTTGATTGCTCTTAATGTCTTGAACGTGCTGTT